AACCTGTGAACTCAGGGTGTCTTTTAGTTTATTTACTTTAAAAAAAATGTTTTTCAGCAGTGTTTCATAGTTTTCAGTATGCAGTATTTTACCTCTTTGGTTAAATTTATCCCTAATGCTATTATTTTATTTATTTAATACTACTACGGTTGAAATTGAAATTGTTCACTCAATTTCCTTGCAGATTGTTTATTGTTAGTGTACATAAATGGAACAGATTCTTGCATTGATTTTTTTTTGAGAGGTTTTCGCTACAGGGTGCGTGCACTCACCAGACAGACAGAGAGAGACAGAGAAATAATACACACATATAATTCCATAACTATAGACAAATACATCATGACCATTTTATTAGAAAAGAGCAGTCTTGGGGTCAGCAAGTGGTGTAGTGGGTAAGGCGCTAAACTCCCACATGGCCAACTGTGTTTTGTGTCCCAGACCTGTAGGATATTCACTCTGGGTGCATGTGTGTGTGTGCTCAAAATCCCAGGAGGAGAATGGAGAAGAAAGGATTGTAGCATGGCTGCCTCCCCTGGGGGTTGATTTCTCACTTTCTCTCTCACTGTCTCTCTCTGTCTCTTTCTAGTCAACACACATGCCCTATGACAAAAACCTAAAAAAAAAGGATAGTTTTTTTTTTCAATAAATGATGTTGATAAAATTAGATATCTACATGAAAAAAAAATGAAAAAAAAGTTGAGCCCTTACCTGATAATATATACAAAAATTAAATAAAAATAAATCAAAGACTTTAACATTATAAAAGATCAGAAAGGGGGCAGTGGGTGGCATGGTAAATAGATGTCTGGATCCCACATGGTTGACTGTGCAGTTCCAGTACTGGATCTGATGGCTTATAAAACACATTGGACGTGTTTGTGTGTCCCCAAAATCTTGAAAAGAGAATGGAGCAGAAGGAATTGTGGCATGGCCACCTCTATGGGAGATGCTTTCTTGCCTTCTCTCTCTTTCTCTCTGCTGAACACATATGCCTTCTAACTAATTTTAAAAGAAAATAAGAAAAAAATTCACAACAGGGTAAATCTTAAGTGACCTGGGATCTGGCAATGGTTTCTTAGACTTGACACCAACAGCACAAGCAAAAAAAAAGTATATAGAGAAATTGGGTATCATCACAATTAATTTTTTAATTTTTTTTCTGCATTAACACTATCGGAATATATACACAACTCACAAAATAGGAGAAAAAATTGAAAATATCTGTAAGTGAAAATAGGTAAAGGATATGAATAGACATTTCTCCAAAGGAAAAGTGCATATATCCAACAGGCACATGAAAATATAGCCAACATCTTTAGTCCTTAGAAAGATGCAAGTGAAAGCCACATTGAGATACCACTTTATTCTTATTAGTTAAGAATAAACAAAAACTAATACTAAATGGAAACTGTTAAATGTCGACGAGGATGTAGAGATTTTAGAAGATTCATACATTGTTGGTAGAAATGTAAAATAATGCAGCCACAGGGGAAAACACTTTTAAAGTTAAACACAGAATTATCATATGATCTAGAAATTTTATTCACAAATATGAAGCCCAACGATTTGAAAACAGGTATTCAAATATTTGAAAGTTCATGGTAGCACTTTTTTTTAGAGGTTTTTGCTATAGGGCACGTGTGCTCACCAGACAGACAGAGAGAGACAGAGAGACAGAAAGTGAGAAATCACCCCCCAGGGGGGAGGGTCACGCCACAATCCCTTCTCCTCCATTCTCCTCTCGGGATCTTGGGCACGCACGCACACGTGCCCAGCGTGAGTTTAACCCACCGGGTCCAGGACTCGAACCGCGGTCGACTACGTGGGAGTCCAGTGACATAGCCATTACGCTAACTGCTGGTCCAGAGCACAGGTAAATCTTTACAGAATGATAGAAAACTAGTGGTTTGTTGTTGTTGTTGTTGTTATTTTTGTTTTTGTTTTGTTTTGTTTTATTTTGTTTTGAGAGACATTTTTGCTATAGGGCACATGCACTCGCTGGAGAGAAAAAAAAAGGCAGAGAGACAGAAAGAGAGAAATCACCACCCCCTCACCCCGGCGAGATGGCCATGCCACAATCCCTTCTATTCTGCTCTTTGGATTTTGGGCAGGCACACACAGAGGACAAAAATAAACCAGACCTAAATATACACTGTCTAAACAAAATCCTATAAATTTAAATGTAATAGTATAGGCAGATGTACAGTAAACAGAATTAAAAAGGTATAACATGCAAATACTTATGAGAAGAATACTGAAATTGCTATATTACTATCAGGCAAAGTAAATTTCAGATCAAAGATAATTACCAGGGATAGCAATGATCATTTTATATCTACAAAGGTGTTCATTTGTCAAGGGACTATAATGATCTTAAACATTTATGCATTTAATAACGCCACTTCAAAATTCATGAAGCAAAGAAAAATGATAGAACAGAAAGAAGAAATAGAAAATTACCAATTATATAGATAAATGAACATCATACCGGTGGACTTGACCTAACTGACATACACAGAACATTCTACCCAACAAGAGCATATAGGCATACCTCATTTTATTTTTCTTTAATTTGTTGCAGTTTGCAGATTTTGCATTTTTTGCAAATTGAAGGTTTTTGGCAACTTTTATTAGTGAAAAATTTCCAACAATATGTGTTTTCTTCATGTCTCTGTGTCATGTTTTGGTAATTCTCACAGTATTTCACACATTTTCATGATTATATCTGTTATAGTGATCTATGATCAGTGGTCTTTTGTTTTTTTTTTTTTTTTTTTGGAGAGGTTTTCGCTATAGGGCGCGTGCGCTCGCCAGACAGACAGAGAGAGACATAGAGACAGAAAGCGAGAAATCACCCCCCAGGGGGGATGGTCACGCCGCAATCCCTTCTCCTCCATTCTCCTCTCGGGATCTTGGGCACGCACGCACACGCGCCCGGCGTGAGATTTAAGCCACCGGTCCGAGACGCGAACCGCGATCGACTACGTGGGAGTCCGGCAACATAGCCATTACGCTAACTGCTGGTTCCCTGATCAGTGGTCTTTGATGCTAATATAGCAATTTTTGTGCAAGACCACTAATCACACTCATAAGACAGGAAACTTAGTAAATGTGTGTTCTGGGACCAACAGATGGCATAATAGTTCTGTTGTTGGACTCTCACATGGCTTACTGCAGTGTGAGTTCCAGACCCGGAAGCTTGAAATTCATGCTAGGCACATGTGTGTGCATGCCCAAAATCCTGAGAGGAGAATTGAGGAGAAGGGATTGCAGTGTGGCCATCTCTCCTGGGGAGGTGATTTCTCATTTTCTGTCTCTCTGTTTCTCTCTGTCTCTCTGGTGAGCAAA